GCATCTTTCTCCTGCAGAGTAACTGGTGGATTCAATTTACACAGAGTCTTGGCCTTTGGGTTAGAAGCACAATTCCTTACAGACTACACCACCAGACTAATGAAACGCAACGGTGGGAATTCCCCGTGTGGAGGACATACCACTATGTACAGGGAAGTTACCCTTGAAAAATCAATTTTAAAAAGAATATAAGTACACTATTCAAAACAACAAGGACAAATCCTCCCCTGTAGATATATTTTGTTTTCTTTTGTTTCATCCCATTTCCACAGCCTATGGAGGAGAGGATTAACTTCAAAATAGATCACAAGTTATTTAACAAGAAGTCACTTAAAACACTGCATTAACGTGTGGCAAAGAGTGATTCAATAAGGTAAAAAAACTTTTAATCTATCTTCATATCATTGTTTTTTACTTATTCATACAATAAATTCATTATTTCCAGAGAAGAGATTCAAATTGGGTCTTGTATAAAAGGGAGCATAATAGGAGTAGAGGTATTATTTTTGTACCAACAAAATTCAGATTGTTAACAGTTTCAGCTTGCTCAGCTCCACAATCCACACTCATATCATCACCAGTCAGGAAATCAAAAGACGAGCTACATTAGGAAAGCCTACTGTGAGGGGCCTCTCCAGAGTACTAAAGAGCAACAATGTCTGAGCAGAGACGAAGGTGACCTGGACTGAGGCCAAGGTCTTCACAATTACTTGCTGTGCATCAGAGAGCTGAACATTGAATAAGGACTACAGAAGAAGAATCAATGCCTATAAATGGTGGTGCTGGAAAAGAGTATTAAACATGTTATGGATTGCCAAGAAAACAAACAGATCTGTCCTGGAGAGGGTGGATCCAAGTTGCTTGTTAGAGGCAAGGATTTTGAAGCTGTGGTTCATATATTTTGGACATGTTGCCAGGAGCGACTAGTCCTTGGAGAAGGAAATCATGCTTGGAGGGGTGGAGGGACAGTACAGGAGAGGAAGACCCTGTATGAGACGGATTGACAGTGACTAGGGTAACCGGAGTTGGTGTGTCAGAGACAGTGAGATTGGCTCAGGATAGGACTGGGTTCAGAGCTATTGTTCATAAGGTTGCTTGCTATGAGTTGCAGGCAACTCAGTGATGTAACAACACCACTCCTACTTTCAGCACTCTCTATTCCAAACGTATACAGAAGGTTAAATGATCTTTCATACTGGGAAATTCAAGTCTCTGTTCCTGTATGCTGAAGGTCTCTTGTCTCTTTACAGCCCAAATAATGATATTTCGAATACTTAGAAATTTGTGTCTTAAAACAGAATTCCAGTATTATTTCCAAATCCCTCAATTTTTCCCCTTTTTAAAGAAACTTTCCCTTGCTATATTTTCTAAAATAAGCCCATTTAGCCCCCATTTTGATTCCTTGCTTATTTTTTGTTTTAACAGTCAACGTGAATATGAAAGTTACATATTTGGGTTTTTTTCTTTTTTACTTGCTTTTCTTCTTACTCCGCTGAACTATAAAGGAAGGTGGCCCTTCCTAATATCCATAGGACCTGGAATATAGTGGGCACACGTGAAAATTTGTTAAATCAAGTAAAAAATTGCAAAAGTCTTTGGCTCCTTGTTTCCTTTCGATGAATAGCACCTCACCACAACTCACCACAGCTCAGCCAGCCCAACTGGTAAAAATAATGGTGAAGGAAGATCCAAAGGGGAAAATCTTGGGCATTTGATACAGGTTATATCTGGTTCTAGGTACTGGACTAAAATGTAATTCTTTTAACAAAGTTCTTTCAAGATCAGACAGCATACAGAACAGGTGAGTCTTACACCTGTTTAAATTACATGTATGATCCCCTTATCTCGTGGATATATTGGTATATTCTCAAAAACAAACATGTAAGATGATTGAAGACTCTCAAGGAAATAAGATGGGACAAGATGAGATCATGGACAATTCATTGAGTCTTCATTGCTGTCAGTTTCATCATTTTTCAAGTTGGATTTAATACCCAATAGCCAACCAATTGTTATTGCTGTTGGTAGGATGTCAATTCAAAACAATGTTATAAGCAACAGATAAAAGCATCAGCTTCTTGTCTTATCTTGTGCCATCCTCACAATCTTTGCTATACTCAAATTATTGTCCAGTTACTCCATCAAACCATCACACTGAGGGTTCTTCTCGTTTATGCTGATCCTTACTAATTAATCATGATATCTTTTTCCAAGTTCTAGTGTCACCTGACAGCATGCCCAAAGCATGAGAGAGGAAGTTGCACCATTCAGGTCTCCAGAGAGTTATTCTGGTTGCACTTTCTTCAAGAAAGATCTGCCTGTTCTTTTGTCAATAGGTGGAATAATAAATATTCCTCTCCAGCAGGACAATTCAAGAGCAGTGACTCTTGGTCTTCCTTATTCATTGTATGTATGGTTTGTTGAAGGTACACCTTAGTGTTTAAACTTGTATCCTTGCTCTTTTGTGAAGTCTTTGGATAGCAGATTTTTCCCAATGCAAGACTACTTGATTTCCATTTTTCTTCCCCATTTTTATTTTCTTGTTCTTGTTCTGTTTTGTTTTGTTTTACTGCTGCTACTGTGGGTGCTTGGAAACTCTGACAGCCTAGTGGAATAAGGAGTCTGTGAAAATCCACTACAGGGCCACTATGAGCCAGTTCTGACTCAATGGCAATGAGCTACCAGGAGTGTTGATTGTAGAGCTAAGTAAAATTAAATCCTCGACAAAGTCAATCTCCTCTCCTTCAGTCACGATGTACTACACCTATTGGTGCAGTTCTGAGTCTTTGTTTTCTTGATACTGAGCTAGATTCCAAATTGAAGGTTGCAATATTCTTAGATCTTCTTCAGTAAGTACTTCAAGTTTTCTTCACTTGCTACCAGCAAAGCTGTGTCATCCACATAGTGTAGATTGTTGATAAGTCTATCTCCACAGTCTTCTTCACAGAGCCCTGCATCTCAAATAATTATCGGTCTAAATATAGAATAAAATTCATTGCAATCAATACAGAACCAACTCATAGCTGTCCCTCCATTGGGTTTTTTTGAGGCTGTAATTTCACAGGAGATATTTCTTTGTTCCATGGAATGAACACTGGATTTGAGCTCTCAGTGAGTCAGCAGGGCAGCTCTCCACAGACTAAGCCACCACCACCACAGATCCCTTAAATATCTATTCATATTGTAACCCTTTAGCAGTTATGAAGAAAGAGTCCAACCCTGACACACACCTTTCCTGCTTTTAAGTCATTCAATATTTCCTTGTTATGTTAGAACAACTGGATCTTGGTCTATACATAGGGTTTACAAATTCCCATTCTTTTAATGTTGTCCATAATCTATTATGACTCACACAGTCAAATGTCTGCATAGTCAAAAAAGCAAATAAACATCTTTCTGCTATTCTCTGCATTCAGTCCGGATCCATGTGGCATCAGAAATGAGATCCCTTGTTCCATGGACTCCATCGGCAGTGTCTTGTTGATGTACCACCCTAGACATTTTTGAGCAATCTTCAGTAAGATTTTGCTTGCTTATGATATTTCCCAAAAATGTCCACATTCTGTTCTTCAAAGGGAAATATAAATATTGATTTCTTCCAGGGTATTCAACAGGTAGCAGGTGCTAGTTTTCAAGTAGCCTGTCCAGGGCTGCACTTGTTTGCTAAATTATCTCAGTTGCTATTGGGATTTCTTCACCATATGCTAATTCCAGAAGTGGATCTGCATCAGTTAACTTCCACCACAGCTCCTTATTCCAAAGGGAGCCAAACTCAAATGTACTGCTTTGGAGCCAGAAATGACTTGGAGCTGACACTCAAGGGGGCTTTGTATGTTAAAAATAAATCACATAGGAGGAGAATGCCAATCTTTCTCCCATAAAGCCACTGATAGATTCCAATTGCCAGAGAGTCTTGACCTCTGCGGCAACTCCCTTTGAGTGAAACTTCCTAAGGACTACAGCATCAGAGCTCTATAAAGAAGGGAGTAGTGAATACAAAAGCTCTTAACATCTACGCCTAACAAGAAGGTAATATTGAAAAAGTGCTACAATTACATATGCTCAGAATAAGAGATTTTATAATGCTTATATTAAATGACTCAAGTTCAAGCTGGTAAACCAGTAAGCACCCTTCATAACAAAACAGAAGTACCACTTACTACATTCAAATTCAACCCAAATCCAAGTTACTGTCAATGAGCAGATTCTGATTCACAGAGGCTGTGCAGGGCAGAGTTGAACTGTTATGTAGGTTGGACAAGGCTATAAATCGTCACAGAAGCAGACGGCTGCATCTTTCTCTCACAGAGAGCCTGGTGGATTCAAACTACCGATCTTTTGGCTGGAAGAACATGCTTTAACAAATGGTTCACCCTAGTTCCGTATGATAGTGTTCAATTACTATGATCCCTCCATTACATTCAGGATGGAACAACTTCTGATTTCCTAGTCACAAAAGCATGAGAATAATTCCTAAGGTTTAGAGTGCGCTAATTCACTTGTTTGTTTTTTTATTCTAATTCTCATTCTTGCTGAATGGAAAATGAGAGCATAGAAATGAGAAAAGTTATTACCTAAAGATGTTATATGACTCACAAATGAACCAAAACCAAAACAAAGCCGACAAAGAATAACAACAACAGCAACAACAAGAAGAACAAACCCAAAACCCAGTTGTTGGCAAGTCAATTTTTGACTCATATTGACTTCACAAGTGTCAGAGTAGAATTATGTTTCATAGAATTTCAGTGGCATATTTTTCCAGAAGTAAATCCTTGGGTCTTGCTCCCGAGGCATGACTGGGTAGACTTGAAACTCTGATATTTGGGTTAGCGATCAAGTTCATTAACCATGTGCACCAACCAAAGACTGATTTTTCAGTAACACATAGTAATATACAGAGGGTAGTAAATAAAATATGAGTCTGCCAATACCCAGTCCAGTGTTATTATGTCTATAATAGATTAGCTCTCAATCTAGGGCAAAAATACCCTTCTAGTTTATCTGCTTATAAGAAACTTCTTCCTCTCATATGTCCTTCTGAAAGCATCCTTTACCTCCTTGTTTCTCAGGCTGTAGATAATTGGATTCAACATGGGGATCACCGCTGTGTAGAACAAGGAAACCACTTTATTGATGTCCAGAGAGAAACTAGAGCTGGGACGCACGTAGATAAAGAAGAGGGTCCCGTAGAGGATGGAGACGGCTGTGAGGTGTGAGGAGCAGGTGGAGAAGGCTTTGCGCCTTCCGTCAGCAGAGCCAATCTTCAGGATGGCAATGATGATGTAAACATAAGAGATCAAGATAATCACTCCACTGAGTACTCCGAGGGCTCCAGCCATGATGAAGAGTAAATTTTTATTGACCTTGGTATCTGCACATGCCAGCGAGAGGACAGGAAGCAGATCACAGAAGAAGTGATTGATGACATTTGAATCGCAGTAGGGTAGGCAGATGGTGAAAGTTGAATGGGTCATGGTGCTAAGAAGACCCACAGCGTAGGGCCCTACCACGAGCTTCACACAGACCCGCTGGGACATAATGAGAGTGTACAACAAAGGCTTACAGATGGCTATATAGCGGTCATAAGCCATGGAAGCCAAAAGGAAACACTCTGTCACTACAAACTGACCAAAAAGCCATATTTGGACAGCACAGCCAAAGAAAGAGATCACCTTTTTCTCCACAAAGATATCACTGAGCATCTTGGGGCCAATGGCGGAGGAAGAACAGACGTCCACAAAAGATAAGTGACTGAGGAAAAAATACATGGGCGTGTGGAGTCTGGAGTCCATCCAAATGAGGGTGATCATTCCCAAATTGCCCAGAAGAGTGACAAGATAAACAATTAGAAATATCAAGAAGAGAACAACCTGGTAGTGAAAGTGTTTCGTTAAGCCTACGAATAAAAATTCAGCCACCAAAGTTTCATTTCTGTTACCCATTTCTCTGGTTAAGTCTGTTATGAGAAAAGAAAAAAAATTATTTGTAATATATTGGCAAAGTATTTTTCATTTTATAGATGAATTAAGCTTTTATTTTTAAGTTATATTTCATAAACTATAGCTTTAAGACTTGTGTTCCACTCTGACTTGTTAGATATTTGTCAACTATTTGGGCAGCTCTGAGCAAGTCACTGAACAAGTAAGTCATTAGAGTCATTCTTGTTTGAAAGAGAATTTTACAGAGAAGTATAGATTTTTAGAGCTAGGTTTGATATTGATTATTATCTAAGGCAAGTCCTTGAATTTTAGATAGAATAACCTTCTAAAAGTATCTCCCTTTACAATGCTATTTTAAGAAACATTCTATAGGAAAAGTTATTTATTACATGGATTATATATATTTGGGTGATATCCACACTCATCCTAGATTGAAAATAAACAGATAGTGGGAATATTTTTTTTTCCTTAATTTCCTTGAAATCTGTATCATAGGTTAGCTGAATAGGTAAGGTAACCTATGATGCACCAGCTGAAGCAAGAGAAGTTGGCTTTACAACTGAGATCAAGGTTTTCACTAGTGATATCTATGGGATGTCTTTTCCAACATGTCTAGCTACCTTCATATTATTGTTGTTGTGTTTGATTGTTTTGAGTCGAACATGACTCATAGCGACCCTATGAATGAAAGACTTGAAGCCCCTCCACAATGACCAACATTTATCAAAGTTCATATTGCTAGTGTAGAGTTCTCCCAACCCAGTAATCATCAAATTTTTTAAATTACATATAATAAAATTTCAGTTCATAAACAGAAAATCAGTGTTTTGACAGAGGATATCAGATGCATATGATATAAAAATAAATGTTTTAAGAACAAAAAGGAAACCCCAAGTCATTCATCTCAGAAAAAATAGGAAAGTGTAGGCCCACAAAATAACCTGCACAACATTGTCAAAAACATTTCTTTTTTAATAGCCAAAATCTAGAATCAACCCAAATAGGTTGTACAATAGGCGAACGGTTAACAAAGTGTAATCTATTCAAACCATAAAGTGCTACTTGGTAAGAAAGAAAAAAAATATATTGATACATACAAGAACTGGTATCAATGCCAAACGTGGAATGCTGAGGGGTTAAAAAAGGAAGTCTCTGGAGTTTTCAGGTTTAGCTGCCCTTCTGGTTGTCTGATTCTCCCACACTTTATCTGTCTACCCTTTTTTCCTTTTTTACAAAATGCCAGAATAAACTACCTTTCTTGGCTTGTAGTTGTTTGTGTTTTTTTTTTTTTTAAAAAAGGCAACCTCAAGAGTTTCCATCTAAATAATATTATTAAAATGGCCAAATTATGCATAAGGTAGTGGTTCCCAGGGATGAGACGCTGTGGGAGGAAGGGTCCTTGTGTGACTCCAAAGGGAAGCACAAGGGAGATCTCTGGTGATAGAGGAGTCCTGTATTATAGCAATAGTAGAAAAACCCATGTAAGTGATCAAGTAGAACTACTCGTGTATATTATGCCAATGTTAGTATTGTGCTTTGATGTTGCCCTGTGGTTACATTATTATAAGGTGTAACTATTAGAGAAAACTAGATGAATGTCGTGTGGACCATCTATCTCTGTACTTTTCTATGAAATAGCCCGTGAATCTATAATTACTAAAAAATAATGCGTGAGAAAAAGAATTGAGGAGAAAGGAAGTAGGTGACACAGAATAGGGAACTAAAGGCGTATATTATAGATTCAGAAGCAATCATAACAATCCCAACAGCTCAATCACCCAAACATATTCACATGATGTGATGGAGAAGCAATCACAGAAGTCAACACCTTACTCCCTGAGTAAGGGTCTTGTTAACTATGAAGATGAATTCAACCAGTAGAAAAACTGTAGCCCTTGTGTGGATGCCAGAGCAATGGGTCTTGTAAAAGGAGAAACGTGGGGAAGTTTAACTGGCACCTCTCTAGCAGTTGATATCCATCAACAGCCCTGCCGAGAAACATGGCAATAACTAACTTCCTGTATGATTTCTAGTTTCTGAAAATCAGTCACCAGGTCAACTCAAGTCAATTCTGTCCAACTGCACACAGTCAATGAGTGAAAGAGTGAAATGTTAAAAACAATATACATTTCCTACACATATAAACATTTTTATAATTGGGTTTCTGTTTGTTACTCAAGGAAGATGTAAAGTATCTAAATTTTCACAACATATTTAGGTTGTTGAAGAGTTTTACAACAATGAAGCTAAAATGTATGCATCTGTCATCTCAACCAATTGGAAACAAAGATAGTGAAATAGATACACTGCTGATAATTATTGTGTTTTTAAATTTGAAATTCTTTATGTGCTGAGTATGTGAAAGCCTATCGAGCTTTGTTTTTCAAAGTTAGGACCAGAGAAGAAGTCTGCTACTATATAAGCATACGGTAGGAAAAATGAAACTAATACTTAAGTCAGCTGAAATAAATTTTGTACTTGTAATACCCATTTAAGAAATGTACCCAAAAAAAGTAAAACCAAAGCCTCCTGAGTCTAACATTTTACAAATCTGCAAATCTTCAAAGACCCTTCAGTACCTCACCCAAAATCGAACAAAAATATATATTCAAGTTAGTTGAGACCAAAGGTCATAGACTAGACTTAATAGTTTATATCAGGTATCAAGTTATTCTCTGTGATGAGTTCAGAGATCGCTTTTCCAGGTTTCTAAGCTCTTTGGCACATCTAGTCTCCAGAAAACAATTTAAGGTATCATTGAAGACATTTTCTGAAGAAATAAGCCCCATATTGTCTGCCTGCATTGAGGCAAACTATAAAACTAAATGTTCTTGAATGGAAATACAGTTACCCAGTAAATGTAGATTCCCCCCCTTAGCTTCTCCAAATATCCAGAAAGATAAACAATGTAGAGATATCATTTTGGAAACTGCTTTTTCCAACTATGTCGTTGTTAAGTACCATCAAATCGTAACCAACCCATAACTGACCCTCCAGTGGGTTTTCAGAGACAATAACACAGGAGGAGATGGGCCAACATTCTCGTAATGACAGTTTAAAAAAGAAGAAAAGTTCACTGACTCAGCGCTACACAATACACAAGAGAAGCTTTTTAGTAAATTGGAGAGAATTCCCTCAAGAAATCAGACGCACAAGAGATTAAGCCTATAAGGAAAAAAATTAACATTATCTTTTGAGAAAATAAACTTGGGACTTTTGAATCATGTGCAAATGCCCAAAATAAACTTCTCTCACTTTTTGGAACCTCCTTCATTTAGCAATTCTAGTTTGGAGCCTTCCATACAGACAGACTGAAAAACAGTAAATGAAACAAAGAATTCAAATGGTGATCCCTCCTTTACAAAGACACAAATAGCAAAGGATTCTGAATACACAAAGGAGAAGTTACAAATAGCACAGAATGACTTGTGATTAGGAGTTTGGAAATAGTTTCATGAAATTGATTAATCTCGAATAAATAAGTAAATGTTGAAGAGCTGAGGAAGAATAGCTATCAGGCTCCAGTTAAATCCCTCTTGCCTGGACTTAAATTAGGTTGTTATTTCAGCTGAAACACTTTGGGAGACGACTGAAGATTGTTGTTGTTGTTGTTGTTATGTGCTGTAGAGTTTCCTGACACTCATAGTGACCCTATGTACAATAGCTCTGAATCCCTGCTCTACCCCGAGCCGGTCTCACTGTCTCTGACACATCTATTCCCATTACCCCAGTTATGGTTGTCAATCCATCTCATACAGGGTCTTCCTCTCCTGTGCTGTCCCTCCACTATTTCAAGCCTGTTGTTCTTCTCCAAGGATGGTCCCTCCTGGCAACATGCCCCAAATATGTGAGGTGCAACTTCAAAACCTTTGCCTCCAAGGAGTTACTTGGTTTCACCCTCTCTAAGATAGATCTGCTTGTTCTCTTGATAGTCTATAGTATTTTCAATACCTTTATCCAGCACCACAACTTGAAGCCATTGAATCTTCTTCTGTGACCCTTAGTCATTGTCCAGCTGTCTGACACGAAGTAAGAAAATGCAAAGACTATGGCCTGGACCAGGCACATCTTATTCTCTAGACTGACATTGTTGCTCTTTAGCACTCTGGAAAGTTCTGACAGATTTTCCTAATGCAATTCATCATTTGATTCCCTGACTACTGGGGCTACAAATATTTGGCTGCGGACAAGTCTCCTGGTTTTGAACTGGTTTTGTCCTGCTTGAAAGAATCCCATCATGGGCTCAGCCTTTGGTAAAGCACACAGTTGAGAGGAAAGACAAGAAGACAGGTTACAGATGAATGAGAAGATAGATTTATTAGAAAAGATACATCTCAGAGAGAATCTCTAGATGGGCCAATCTCTGTTGTTGTTGTTGTTGTTGTTGTTGTTGTTGTTATGTGCCGTCGAGTCATTTGAGACTCATAGCGACCCTATGTACAACAGCCTTAAACCGTGCTCTATCCTGTGCCAATCTCATTGCCCGTGACACACCCATCCTGAGTACCCCAGTCACTGAATCAATCCACCTCATAGAGGGTCTTCCCCTCCTGCGCTGTCCCTCCACTCTACCCAGCATGATGTCCCTCTCTAAAGACCTGGCTCTCCTTACAACATGTCCAAAGTATGTCAGACGAAGCCCCAGAATCCTTGCCTCCAAGGAGCAGCCTGGTTTAACTCTTTCTACGATGAATCTGTTTGTTTTCTTGGGAGTCCATGGTACATTCAATACTCTTCTCCAGCACCATAGCTCAAAGACGTCAATTCTCCCTAGTCATTGTCCAACTCTCTGATGCATAACAAGTGATTGCAAAAACCATGGCCTGTATCGGGCGCACCTTAGTCTCCAGAGAGACAGTTTCTCTTGAGTATTTTGGAGAGGTCCCTAACCGCAGACTTTCCCATTGCAATACGTTTTTTGATTTCCTGGCTACTGGTGCCAAGAGTGTGGACCATGGAAGACTCTTAGCTTGGCAATGTGTGGCCTGATAGAGCTCGCTGAC